CTACCGCCACGCGCCCGCCTTCAGCGAGGCAGAGGGGAAGACCGGGCGAAGCCAGCTAGGCTATCTGGCTCCGTTCCTTCGCACTGTGGCTTCAGGTGGGCGGGCTTGCTATCGCCACGCGCCCGCCCTCAGCGAAGCAGAAGGGAAAGACGTGGTGAAGTCAGCTAGACTACAAGCGGGCCGTCGCTCGCAGCGCCTACTGCCCCCCCCTGTCACAACAAAAAACTATTAGGCTACTGGACACGAAAAAAAACGACCACATCACATGGGGGCACATCCGAGGAGCCAAGGGTGATAGCAAGCGGAGGTGCGGAGGTAGACCTCCGCATGCAATGCAGCGAAGGTGAGAGGACCAGCAGCAGCAGCAGCAGCAGCAGCGATGGCTGCACTCGCAGGAAGGAGGATAGAACAAACGGGAGGAGCCAGAGTGGTTATCGCCATTGCACTCGAAAACAAGAGGTGCAACGACGCACCGCCTCCATTACAGACCTCCTCCTCCTCCTGCACCACTTCCTCCTCCTCCTCCTCCTCCTCAACCTCTTCCTCCTCCTCCTCCTACACTTATTCCTCATTGTCCTCCTCCTCCTCCTCCTCATCATCATCGTCATCATCATCAGTGTAATCCTCCACCTCCTCCTCCTCCTTCGTCCTACTCCTCTTTCTGATCCTACTCCTCGTCTGCTTGGACTGGTCTGGCAAGATGCGGCGTAACTGTCTTGTCACGCCAACAATCTTGACACCGACATGAGAACGAGGACGCTAATGAATTGTGTAAGCCCAGCACCCCTTCCGCTTGTAGGTGCCCCCGAACTTCCTCCTTCTCTTCCTCCTCCTATGATTGTTATTCCTCCCCCCTCCCGCTTGTCTTCTTCCCCCATCCCCCTCTCCTGCGGGCATGCCGAGAGTCCCTTCTCCTCTCCTCATTCCCCTCTCCCTCCTCCTTCTCTCCCTGCAATCAATCCTCCTCCCCCCTTCCTCCGCCTCCTTCTGCTTCATATCTTCTCCATCGTCATCAAGCGTCAGAGATAAGGTGGCCGCTTTTTCACGAACGTGCACCCCTCCTCCTTCTGCTCATCCCGCTCTCTCCCCCGACTCAATTATGCATGTGCCTTCTCTTGGGCCCGCGGGCCCGTCTGGTCTATGTGTGTATGTGTGTCTCATGTTATGTTGTTATCGCTCTCTCTCTCTCTCTCTCTCCCTCCTTCTCGTTTTTTTTTCTCCATCCCTCCTGTACCTCTTCCTCCTCCTCCTTCTCCTCCCCCTCCTCCTCCTCCTCCTCCTTCTCCTCCTCCTCCTCCGCCTCCTCCTCCCTCTCATCATTATCATCATCATCATCATCATCATCATCATCATCATCATCATCATCATCCTCATCCTCATCCTCATCCTCATCCTCATCATCGTCCTCATCATCATCAGCATCATCATCGCCATCAACAACCCCGTCATCATCACCACCATCATCATCGTCGCCACGATCATCAGCATCATCATCGCCGCCGTCATCAGCAACAACATCACCAGCATAGCTATCATCACCAGCACCATCGTCATCATCATCATCGTCATCATCGTCAGCATCAGCACCATCATTATCACCACCATCAGCATCAGCAGCGTCATCAGCGTACTCATCATCACAATCATGATCATCATCCTCAACGACAGCAGCATCAATATTATCACCATCACCAGTATCGTCAACATCATCCTCATCCTCATCCTCCTCATCCCCCACATCGTCACCATCACCATCACCAGTATTACCATAATCACCATCACAAGTACCATCACCATCATTAGCATCCTCATCTTCATCGTCAACATCAGCATCACCATCACCACGGTCATGCTCGTGACCAGGGTCATCAGCATCCTCCTCATAAGCAGCCTCATCGCCTTCGTAAGCATTATCATAATAGTCATCATCAGCATCAGCATCAACAACAACAACATCATCATCATCATCAGCATCATCAGTAGCATCATCATCAACATAATCAGTATCACCATCAGCATTCACATCATCATCATCGTCGTCGTCCGCATCACCATCAGCATCGTCGTCATCGTCATCATGAGCATCACCACCACCAGCATCGTGAGAAGAAAGCACATCACCAACAACACAAACACCACCATCACCATCACCATCAACATTAATTCGCTGGACCCGCGCGTTTGGCAAATCGCGTGTTCTCCTCCTGCGCCTCTTCTTCCACCGCGTCCTCCTTCTCCACTGAATATTCCTCCTCCTGGTCCTCCTCCGCTTCCCCGCTCTGTTCCTCCCACTCTTCCTCCGTAACAAGCTTTTTCTCAAGCCAATGGAGCATACGCTAGCTCAAACGACTCTTGGACATGCGACAGAACCTTTGCACTTCCAAGACTTCCTGGAAACTCTACCCTTTCACGATTCCATCACCCGTTGCTCGAACCTGGCGTCTGGTGTCCTGGCCAATGCTTGAATAACATTGCATCCGCCTCGACGCCAGCATAGAGGCAGCAGCGTAGCTCTCGCAGCGGATGCATTCATTGTCTGCCGTGCAACACGACGCACGGTTTGGGCCTATTGTGACACTAGCAGCAAGGTTCTGCAACGCGAGCGGCGGGATATTCAAGGGGCGCCGCAAATGCGAGGACGAACGCGTCACTTTGTCAAATCCACATGCAGGAGCACATCGATGGTCTAAGGGTCGTCATCAGCACAGGGGCATTCGTCAAGGGAATGGAGATGTGATGCCTGACGAGAAAGGCCACCCCCTGGAGAAACTCCTGTGCCCCCAATTGCTTCTGACGGCGGCAAAGGTCACAAGCGAGGGGCAGGCGAACCGCCAAGCACCGGCGCACGTGGGCAGTACGCACAGCATGGACATCATCACCATTAGCGGCAGTTGCTGTGCTTCAGATCCGACGTTGGCGCAGCCAAGGGTTTCAGGATGCTGGCAGCATGCTCCCGCAAGAGGCACGACCTCAAGGAAATGGCACGTCTCCATCTCGAACTGCGACCTCGGCGAGAACCAGTCTCCAACTAACCGTACACGCATTCTAGTCAGGAGTGGGCTCGATGCCGGTATCCAGCCACAGAGGCTCCCAACTCCGCGCTTCGCGGAGCGCGAGTAACTTCGCGCTCTCGCGCCGCCCTCCCAGAGGGAGAAAAGGAGGACGAGGAAGAGGGGGAGAAGGAACGAGGACCGCGAAGCGCGAAGAACTTCGCGCCCTGCGAGTCTCGGCAGAACCCGACCCAAACATGCCACAGTCTCAAGCGTGAAGCTCGGGAGCTTCGGAGAGTGCAGGTCCGGACTTGGTGTGCCTGGCAGGGTGTGCGATGTAAACAAGTCAGGCGCGCAGTAATCGGGACGACCGCAATGGGTACGGAGAGAATGTGCACAATGCCCAACAGGACTCGCTGTCCGCGCCGCCGCGGCCTGTGTCCATTGAAGACAGAAGGCCGTCTGCCCAACAACGGCCTCTGTTGGTTTGGGCCGATATTTGTTGTTCGGCATTGTACCCATTCTTTCCGTACCCATTTCGGGCGTCAAAAAAGTAAGACCAGCCTTTTCATGATAATTCCTTACCTCGACAGTTCGGTGAAGGCTACCTCGTGTCTCAAACAGTACCCCCTCAGGCCGCACCGCCCCGTCTCGTTGCAATGTTTGGTGGGATCCTCTCTTATGATGCCAGTGCTTGGCAAGCCTCAAAGGCTCCCAACTATGTCCCGATAGGCCCCTTTCTGTAGAACCTGTTATGGACTAGAACGGAGGCCGCCTTGGACACCCTGGAGAACATCTTAGACTCGGAGGCAACCGAGGAGCAAACGCAAGCAGCCCTGGTCATAACTTGTGATATCAGGACTTCGGAGTTGGATGTTACGACTAGCTTCGTAAGCCAGGAGGACGCTTTGGTCCCCGAAATTGGTTCGGTTGTCTGCTAAAGCAGCTGAAAGCCAACATCGATCCGAGTGGACATCTTTTTGACGTCCGACTCGTTGGCTACTAAGTTAACAAAGCGTTAGGGGACCTTGACGCGCTCCCGGATCTGATGCAGTCGCTGGCGGAGCCGCCGCAGGAATTTGTCTCTCCTGGGGAGTTGGGCGCCACGCTCAGCAAAATGTGCAGCCTAGCGGAAGCCTCTCAGCAGGACGTTCAAGTTCAGGGCGCAGCAGGAATTACAGAAGCAGCGAAATCAATATTTCAATATCAGCATGAAGTACTGTTTCACTTTCTGGACACAGAAGCGCTGGCCGAATATCACATTCAAAATGCAACTACGACTTGGGAACATTAGGTTTAGTGTAAGATGGCGGCGGGCATTAGATGAGCGAACCAATGCCCGACAAAGACGCAACACTGGAAACCGACGCAGATCCAGGCGCAGAATAGGAATTTCTCAGGTTGCACGACGAAGCTCTCGTATGCGGAGGCCCATCGGTTGCCAAACATCTGGGAGTCCCAGCCGAAGCATCACGAAAAGTACTCCGATCCCCAGGCTGCCGCAGACCTGTCGCCCTCCCCCCCCCCAAGGAGCTCAAGCGGGCCCTCAGGACGTTTGGCTACAGTGGAGGCCAGTCCACAAGAAACTTTCCGCAAGAAATCCAACCCTGAGACCCCAGGACGTCCACTGAATTTTGGTATGGGAACGTCACGATTTTCCATGGCGAAACCATCGAAGCCCAAGAAACCCAGGGCACCCTGGAGGCGGGCAGGGTGATTCTTGGCATGGGTCTCCACCGTATGCCAGTGCAGAACACTTTGGATGATGTGCATCCAAACATGTTGCCCTGTATATCGTTCCGGCAGCAGGCGCTCTTTTGTAGGCTCCCCTCAATCGTGAAGCGCGTGGGCAGCAACCCGACCCAACTCTTGGCCATCACCACAACTCTGATTTCGAAACGCAGGCCGTCTCGGAACGGGCCGTCCCATCGAGGGACAGGGTCCATGCCAAGTGCGCACAGAGTTTTGGCAATGATAAAACAGGGGGGGCAAGAGGATAGGAGAGGAAGCACCGACGAGAGCTTCTGGCACATCACGCTGGCCGGGCCATCCTCGAGCCTGTTCCCCAGCAGACGCTGCAGGCAGAGAGCGGCGCGTCCCAAAACACCATCCTCCACTCCGCCTCGATCATGTGGCACCTAATAATAATAGTCATCATACGAATAATAACAATACGACTGGTAATACGAAGACGACAACGGACAATACAAAGACGAACACGAATAACCGATTACTGCGAACATGTTTACATGGGAAGCTGTACCAACGGTCCCTCGAACCGGAATGTAATTAATGGAGCGGCTTTGTCTACCTTCAAGATTCGATATCGACGCCAACGTAGGACATCCCTGAATAGCCAAATGTCTTCTGCTGGCTCCACAGCGTGCTCCACAGCGTTTGGGGCCCTCGCGGGATGCAGCAATTTTACTGCGGTCTTGGCACGCCTGCATTTCATTCCGCCACTGGACGTTTGTACCAACTGTGTTTCGATCTTCCTGCGCGGGGTCATTGATGACCTCCTCCTGATATGCTTAGGCCGGGCCTGTCCCCCTGCAGGGGCATTCCGGGCGAAAAATAACAAATAGCGCAAACATGGCCAAACATGTTGTAAAACACGCCCCCAGACTATTGTTTGACTAGGTTTGGATATTCCTCCTGTAGAGGGGCATGCCCAACTTAATGTTATGCCCACGTTCTTGCAGAGCCACCCGCGTCGAGGAGGCGAGGCAGGCCGCCGCCAGCGTGCTCGGCGCAGTCCAGAGCGAGCGGCAGGGCACGACCGCAGCAGCCAAGCCCGCAGCCCTGACCAGTCGGGCTGGTTGGGAGAGACGCTGGCTCTCCACCAGCGCACGCAGCCAGTCTAGGAGTCGACTGTCGAGCAGGATCACAGCGAGGACACACACTATGAATGCAACCACGAACGAGTCCCCAAGATCAGAGCCGTCCACCGAGCAGGAGCTGATACCATGAAGCTGTACAACACGAGCTTGGGACAAACCCAATCTTATGGATCGGAGGTGGTGGGATGGATGACGTTGAGCTCAAATCTGGAAAACTATTCCCTCAAATTGCCGGCCTAAGAACTAAGACCAAATCTAGCACGCTAAACCTTGTGCCTGCTAGGCGATCCGTGTTGGAGGTCTGGAATGGGCCCCTTTTTGCTGTGGTCATGCCAGTCTGGAGGGCCACGACAGGAGATGACCGTAAAGCTACACGGGTGGGATGGAAATTCACGGGCCCCTTTCACCATGGAAGATCAGAACGGATAGATGCACATCCTTACTGCCAAATCCCCTTCGCTGCTGCAGCACACTGGCACCAGCAGGCGAGGCAGCAGCAGCAGCAGCAGCAGCTCAGAACGCAGGCATCTCGCAAGCTCGGCTCGGCGTGCCCGCTCGATCCAGCGGTAGCGCGAGAAGCTCTCAAGTCCCGCTCCCTCGCGGACTCAAAGAAGATCACCCTCGAGGCGCTCCTCGCCGAAAGCATCTGGACTCGCGCGCGCCTCCAGAGAACAAGGTCCCCGGCGGAGCCCGAATGCCAGTGTGGCAACGCCACGGACGACCTACACCGTAGACTCGTGAGCTGTCCTTGCACTGAGCACCTGGGAAACGAACGTTTCACGGGACACGAGTCAGTGCTTCAAAAAGAAAACTTTGGACGACAGGTTTGCACACATACAGTCCGTGGTTTTTTAAAGGCCACAAGGTTTCTCATGCAGCGGGCAATGCAGCAATAGCCGCATTGACGAGCAAAGAGAACTCACAGGAACGATGTACGGCCCAGTGGGCCTCAACTTGCCTCAGTCGTCTCCTTCGGCTGAGCATTTTGCTGTGCTTGCCGCTGTCCCCTCCTCTGCTCCTCACTCCACCACCTCGGTGATCACCGACGGCCAAGGCATCCTTGATGTGTATGGCAGGCATCCGCACTATGTAAGCACAGTGTACTGACATTGCCATGCTTGCCACAGGAGGTACGGGGTGTCATGATGACGTCGAGTTGATGAAGGTATAAGCGATTGGAACCCTGAGGCGATGCCTCAAGGCACCCTGGCTTGGAAGGTGCCAAAAGGAATCGCTTCGCTGGTACAGTTGCTAAACTACTTGCCTAATGTCTGCTGCGACCGTCCGTGCCAGAGGATGGGCCAGTAGACGATCGTCGCAAGTTTCCGAAGGCATTCTTGACTTGTGTCGCCAAAGGTCTCAGCTTGTGGAAACCAGTGGGGCCCAGAAGCAACAAAAAAGCCTTCTCGTCTCGAGACCAGGGCGCCACCCAGCAAGTATTGGGTCGGGCCTGTCCCCCATGCAGGGGAACCTTGGGGCGAAAAACAAAAACAAAACCAGCACACACCACACAATCTTCAAACATATAAAAAAATCGTCCCTAGACAATCTTTTTGGATTACTTTTGAATACTCCTCCTGCAGAGGGAGCAGGCCCGACTGAACGCAGGTGGCAGCTGGAGCGCGCGGCGCCCTTGGAGGCACGGCAGCGGCCAGCCTGACGGCCACCCGTCGCCGAGGCTCCCCGGCCCCCCCCCCCACGCTTTCGGCACGCGCGGGAACGGCGTGTATGGGAACGCCGTTTTCGGCACACACGCACAGCACGTGTGGATGAATAGGTGTGTGGGTGGATGGACGAACGGATGGAGGGAGGACCATGCGCAATTCGATGCTTCATCACCAACGCTTCCAGATGAAAAAGACCCTGACCTAAACCCCCCTGATCTGAAGCTCCGCGGAGTTTTCAGGAAATGGAGCGGGTAATTGTAATGGCACGCGTGGGAACGGAACGGGTAATTCAGGGATGTGGGCGGCATGCCGCTGCTAGCGCGTGCAGTATAGGCCCGGGACGAGGCGAGGCGACCTGTGCCCGGGCCAGCACCGTCAGCTTGCTCAGATTGCCGTTGCTTCTCAAGTCCACCAGATGCACGTTGCCGATCCAAGGCGGGGCGACGGCTACATCCTTGCACGTGCCAGTTGTAGTACGTACACGGAATCGAATGCAAGATGCTTGAACTGGCAGTGATGAAGCGAAATCGAGCGGTCAGGAGCTCGGACTCACTTGAATCAGAGTAGCAGGGGCAAGCGCCCCAAGTCTTCCTGTTCAACTCATGTCAGCTCCTTCCACGTACAGAATCACTCCAGGGAGGTTGACGGATGTTCTTGCTCGTCAACGAAAAAGGCCAGTCCCTACAGGAGGACGTCAGGCCGTAGGCTGTACGAACCGCCCCCAATCACGTGATGATCCTCACAATCTTCCTCCCAACATTTCCCTTTCTCCTCCTCCTCCTCCTCCTCCTCCTCCTACACCGCCTTCTCCTCTTTCACCTCCTACTCCACATGGACCTTCCCCTCCACCTCCTCCTGATCCTGCTGCTCCTTCTCCTGCTCCTTATCCTCCTCCTTCTTCTTCTCGTGCTGCTGCTCTTCGTCCTCCTCCTCCTCCTTCCTCCCCCGCTTCGTAATCTTACTCCTTCTCCGCGTGCTCAGTCTGCGATCAGGCCAAGTACACCCCGCGCCTCTCCATCAACTTCTGGAAGGCGAACTTCGCCCCGTCCTCCTGGTCTGGGTTCTTATCCGGGTGAAGTTTGCGCTGGAGCTCCCGGAAGATCTTCTTCCTTGCCTTAGGTCGGGCGTGTCCCTCTACAGGGGGATTTTGGACAAAGAATAAACAATCCCCCCCAAATACCCCAACAATATTCAAACATGGTCAACAAATCGTCCCCAGACTATGTTTTGACTATTTTTGAAGATTCCTCCTGTAGAGGGAGCAGGCCCGATTTAATCCTTGCCTCCAGCGGCTCGTTGATCGTTCTGTCCAGCTCCTCCATCGCCTTGGGCGCAGCCAGACCGACGCGAGCGCGCGGGTGGACGCCCCCCCCCCAGCCCAGGGGGGGCGTAAGATGAGAGAGGCACGAGGAGGCGGGGGAGAACGGCGACAGGGCCGACGATGAGGGAGGAAGGAGAGGAGTCAGGAAAGGCAGGCGAAGAGGAAGAGGAACAGGAGGAGGAGGAGGAGGAGGACGAACCCGAGGAGGAGGAGGAGGAGGAGGAGGAGGAGGAGGGCGAACCCGAGGAGGGACCTCAGCATAGAGGCGCCATGTCTCCCGAGCCCTGGGTGCGGGCGAGGGCAGGGCTCCCGTCCTCCGCGGGGTCGGGGGCGCGCCGAGAAGCGCCACCCCCGCGGAGCCAGCGGTCAAGCACTCGCCTTGAGCCCTGGCTGGAGAGCCCGCGCTGCGCGCGAGATCTGTGCTCGAGGCTGGCATTCGAGACTGCGCCTGCAGGCGCAGCACGCATCTCGGCGCCGCCCTCGGCAGTGGGTGGGGCCCAGCTATGCCTCGGAGCAGCCGGGCTGTTGGAGAAGTCCCTGGGGGGCAGACGTGTTCGTGACGCTCTGACCGGGGCGACCGCAAGTGTCGTCGGTTGTCAGAATACCTGCAACCCGCTCGCCGCTTTATCTGGCTGACCAGGCCTGCGCTCCAGAACGAGTCCAGCTCGCGCTGAGAAACACCGTCGCGCTGATGACGATGACGATGACGATGACGATGACGATGACGATGACGATGACGATGACGACGACGACGACGATGACGATGACGACGATGACGATGACGCTGACGATGACGATGGTGATGATGATGGTGATGGTGATAATGGTGATGACGATGAGGATCGTGAGGACGATTAAAACGATGACAATGACAATGACGATGCTGATGGCGATGATGATGATGATGATGATGATGATGATGCTGATGATGATGATGATGATGATTATGCTGGTACTGGTGATGCTGATGATAGTGGTGGTAAATATTACGATGATGATGCCAGTGATGATGGTGATGGTGATGATGCTGATGATGATGATGACGATGATGAAAACGATGACGATGATGATGAGGATGCTGCTGCGATGGTGATGGTGATGGTGTTGATGATGATGGTGATGCTGGTGATGATCATGACGATGACGATGATGCTAGTGATGCTGATGATGGTGGTGATGATGATTATGATGATGATGATGATGATCATGACGATGATGATGATGATTATGATTATAACGATGATGGTGAGTATGATGATGATGATGATGATGATGATGATGATGGTGGTGGTATGATGAGGGCAATGATGATGCTGATGATGATGTGGAGGAGGAGGAGGAGGAGGATCATGACAATGATGACGATGATGATGATGATGATGATGATGATGATGATGATGATGATGATGATGATGATGATGTTGATGATGCTGATGATGGTGATAACGAAGAGGAGGAGGAGAAGGAGGAGGGGGGAAGCCCCGGGACTGTAGAGCCCGATGGTTTTGTGGACAGCGGTCGGTGCTCGGGAGCTCCGCGGACGGAGATCAATGGAGGGAGGCGACACAAGACTCCTCCCCTCAAAGGATCTCGATCCTCGCTCGTGCGGCAGGTCACCCCGCTGGGCTGTGCGACCCCGTGCTGTCTTTAGGGGAACAAGAAATGGCATAAACATAAAAAATCGTAGGTCCGCGCGGATTTCTTGGATCCGCGCTGGACCCCCCTCCCTGGCACGCGGAGCGCGCCAGGGGCGGCGCCGGAGGCGCCGCCAGGGGGCCCCAGCGCCGATGCGAGAAATCCGCGCGGACCTCCGAGTTTTTAATGTTTATGTCATTGTCTGGTCCCCTAGTCTTGCCCATCATTGGGGCTCCAGTGCGTAGCCCTCTCGACGCGAGCAAAATGCACGGCACTGTACCAAAAGGCACCATCATGGGGTCTGGCGTGACAGGGCTCGTGTCCCTGGGGGACACGCCGCAGGAGCAGGAATGCACATTGGGCCGGGAGATTTGTGAGTTCGTGGGGAGGGAGCCGGGGGCGACCCTCCCGCGGTAGGCAGGACATGGAAGGGTCTGGCAGTTCCGGCCTCCCGAGGTCCCGAGCTCGTGGCAGGGCCACAAAATTACCACAGGTCCTGGCCTCTCCTGTGTCCTCCAGCTGTGGCAGGTCCAGAGGGCCCTCAGCATTCCAGCGCTTGCTCGCGGCAGCGAGAGAGAGTATGTCACGACCCGCATGAACTTACGAGGCGGGGGCGTGGGCCAGAGGGCGCATTGTAGCATCAGTGGCTGCATGCTTATCTCGGCCCTTCTCCTCCTCCTCCTCCTCCTCCTCCTCTTCCTCCTCCTCCTCCTCCTCTTCCTCCTCCTCCTCCTTCTCCTCCTCCTTCTCATCATCATCATCATCATCATCATCATCATCATCTTCTTCATCATCTTCATCATCATCATCATCAGCATCATCACCATCATCATCATCACCACCATCATTAGTACCATGATCATGTTCATCAGCATCATCAGCAGCAGCACCATCACCATCACCATCACCATCACCATCACCATCACCATCACCATCATCATCAGCATCAGCATCATCACCATCATCATTCTCATCCTGATCCTCAATCCTCATCAGCATCATCATCATCATTCTACGTCTCCTCTGCCACTGCTCCTCCAAATTCCACCATCCCTCCTCGTAATATAATTATTGCTATTCTTCCCTCTCCTCCTACTCCACAAATTCATGTTCCTCCTCCTCCATTTTTTCCCACTCCAGCCGCTCCTCCCCCTGGTCTTCAACAATGAGCCTGGCGAAGAACTTAACAATATGCAGTTGTGAGTATCAGAAATGCTCATACAGTCTTACATGGACCTCCCTATGGGGCAACGCCCGCATGCGGGCTGTGCTGCTGGGGCCTTCGGTGAAGCTCCCTGTGGAGCCACGAAACGTGAGATGGGGTGTGCTGAAAAGGGGGTGCCGCCCACATGCGGGCTGCGCCACTGGGTCCGTAGGTGAAGCTCCCTATGGGGCCACGAACAGTGTGAGCGGTGTGCCGAAACGGGGGTGGCGCCCACATGCGGGCGGCGCCACTGGGGCCTTCGGTGGAGCCCCTATGGGGCCTCGAAGCGTGTGAGAGGTGTGCCGAAACGGGGGTGGCGCCCACATGCGGGCGGGCGCCACTGGGTCCTCGGGTGCAGCACCCCATGGGGCCACGAAACGTGTGAGAGGTGTGCCGAAACGGGGGTGGCGCCCACATGCGGGTGGCGCCGATGGGACCTTAGGCGGAGCTCCCTATGGGGCCGCGAAACGTGTGAGGGGTGTGCCGAAACGGGGGTGGCGCCAACATGCGGGCGGCGCCGCCTATGGGGCCTCGAAGCGTGCGAGGGGTATGCCGAAACGGGGGTGGCGCCCACATGCGGGCGGCGCCACTGGGACCCTGGGTGATGCTCTCTATGGGGCCACGAAGCGTGTGAGATGTGTGTGCCGAAAGGGGAGTGATAACGATGGTGGTGATGATGACGGCCATGATGGTGGTGATGATGCTGCTGTTGTTGATGACGATGATGGCGATTATGCTACTGTTGTTGCTGCTGCTGCTGATGATGATGATGGTGAGAACGATGATGATACTGATGTTGATGATGGCGATGATGCTGATGATAATGATACGGCTGATGGTAATGATGATGATGATGTTGGTAGTGATGCTGATGATGGTGATGGTGCTGATAATTGAGCTGCTGATGGTGATGCTGATGGCAATGGTGATGATAATGATGATGGGGACTATGCTGATGATGGACATGGTACTGATGATCGCGATGGTGACGATGATGCTGGTGAGTATCCAAATAGGCTTGCCCTATCGGAGCCCTAGCTCATCATAAGTAATTGGTCTTTAGCACCCCCCCCTTTTCCAATGCCTCCCCTTTTTTCAATGACACTTGGTTGCTTGCTCTTGCGTGCTTGCTCTCGCTTGCTTGCTTCTGCTTGCCCTTGCTTGCTTGCGCTTGATCGCTGACTCTTGCTTGCTTGTTATTGCGTTATTGCTCGCTTGCGCTTGCTTGCTTCTGCTTGCTTGCTTGCGCTTGACTGATGTTGCTCCTTCCGTTCTCCTCGCGTCCTGCTCCCATCCTCCTTTCGTCCTCATCCCATCCTCCTCTCGTCCTCCTCCTGTCCTCCTATCTATGTGGAGTCAACGCTGGCTGATTTGATGATCCTGGTGACGACGATGATGATGATGGTGATGGTGATGACAATACTGATGTTACCGATTTGGGGATTATGATGACGATGCTGATGCTGATGCTGATGATGACGATGATGATGATGATGCTGGTGATGCTGATGATGCTGCTGATGATACTGATGAGGATTATGATGATGCTGATGATGACGAGGATGATGATGATGATGATGGTGATGAGCAGAGGCGGGACGGGGGCAACGGGAGGAGGAGGATGATAAGGAGAGGAGAGGAGGAGGGACGCGGAGCGCTGTCTCTTCAAAACCAAGGCCCAGCACCACAGGATGGTTGGGAAAATTATTACCCCCGCAAAACACCCTAACAATAACAAAGGTGAAGAAGCGGGTCGGCTAGTGAACAACTCCTTCCTATGTGCTCCAAGTGTGAGCGCACGGCCATTTGCAACTGCGTGCGTGTTCTACGAGGAACCATGGCCGTCTGGAGCAACTTAGCCTGGCGAATAACCCAACAATACGCAAGCGTGCGTACTGCAATTGTGAGTACCGTCTTCAATGGAACTCCCTATGAAGCAGCGCCTGCATGCGGGCTGTGCCACTGGAGCCTTCGGTGGAGCTCCCGGTGGAGCCACAAGACGCGTGAGGGGTGTGCCGAAGCGGTGGTGGCGCCCACATGCGGGCGGCGCACCTGTGACCGTAAATGGAGCTCCCTATGGAGCCACGAAGCGTGTGAGGGGTGTGCCGAAGCGGGAGTGGCGTCCACATGCGGGCGGCGCCACTGGAACCTTCGGTGGAGCCCCCAAAAAGCCACGAAACGTGTGAAGGTTGTACCAAGACGGGGGTGTCGCCCACATGCGAGCGGCGTCACTGGAACCTTCGGTGGAACTCCTTATGGGGTCGCGAACTGTGTAAAAGGTGTGCCCAAACGGAGGTGTCGCCCACATGCGGGCGGCGTCACTGGGGCTTTCGGTGGAGCTGCTTATGGGGCCACGAACCGTGTGAGGGGTATGCCCAAACAAGGGCGGCCCCCACATGCGGGCTGACCCACTGGGGCCTTACGTGGAGCTCCCTATGGGACCACGAACAGTGTGAGGGGTGTGCTGCAACGGGGGGGGCGCCCACATGCGGGAGGCGCTACTGGGGCCTTCGGTGGAGCTCCGTGTGTGGCTACGAGACGTGTGACTGGTGTGCCGAAGCGGGAGAAGCGCCCACATGCGGGCGGGCGCCACTGGGGCCTTCGGCGGAGCATCTGATGGGGCCACGAAACGTGTGAGAGGTGTGCCGAAACGGGGGTGGCGCCCACAGGCGGTGGGTGGAGCTCCCTGTGGAGCCACGAAGCGTGTGAGGGGTGTGCCGAAACGGGAGTGATACCGATGATGGTGATGCTGACGGCCACGATGATAATGATGACGATGACGATGACGATGACGATGATGATGATGATGATGATGATGATGATGATGATGCTGATGATGATGATGATGCTGATGCTGATGCTGATGCTGATGCTGATGATGATGCTGATGCTGATGCTGCTGCTGATGATGATGATGATGGTGATGATGATGATGGTGGTGATGGTGACGATGGTAATACTGATGACGATGATGATGCTGACGATGGTGATGATGATGATGATGGTGATGATGGTGATGATGGTGATGATGATGATGATGGTGATGCTGACGCTGACGCTGATGAGGATGGTAATGATGATGGTGATGATGATGACGACGAGGATGATGATGCTGATGATGGTGGTGATGATGGTGATGGTGATGGTGATAATGGTGATGATGCTGAGCCGAGGCGGGACGGGGGCAGCAGGAGGAGGAGGAGAAAGAGGAAAGGAGAGGAGAGGAGGAGGGACGAAAAAGTGCTGTCTATTCAAAACGAGGGCCCACACCACAGGATGCACTGAGGCGAGAGCATGATTCCTGAATAAATCGTGAAGAATCCTTAAGCGGAGCGACTGCCACATTGGACGGTCTAGGGCTCCCCGTTCCCCCTTTGAAACTCGCACGTGGTCCTCTGTTGCAACCATTCGAGCCCTCTTGCGAAACAATATTGGGGAATGCTCCATCCACATCCCTTCTAACTACTCCCCGTCACACCCCCAGACGTGTCAGTAGGGAAGCCGGGCATTTCGCATGAGACTTCCTCACCATTCCTGATCCTGGAGCTTGCAAGATGCAGCAGTTTTACGGATGGAAGGCGGGTGGTTTTCAAAATATGGCTCTCGCCACAGCGCCGCGCACCTCCGCCTCAACACATTGAAGCAGTTTCAAGAATAGAGGGCGGGCCGTTTTCAAAATGTGGCTCTCGCCTCAGCGCAACGCTTATTCGTTCTCAAAATTCGCGGTAGTTTCACTGATGAAAGGAATGAGGGTGGTGTTCAAAGTGTGACTCTCGCTTTCGGGCCGTGCATGTTCGTCTTGCAAGTTTGCAGCGGTTTCAAGGCATCGTAGGGTTGAAGTCCCGGGAATGGTGTACTGGCACGATTCGGCCTTGTCGGGTCACTTCGATTCGCAGTGTTGAATTATCAGTTTTGGGAGGAGGAGGAGAAGGAGGAGGAGGAGGAGGAAGAGGAGGAGGAAGAGGAAGAGAAGGAGGAAGGGGAGGAGGAAGATTTGGGCACGGCTTGGGATTGTCAGGGCGCAGCAGTCTCGCTGATCTGCGGAGTTGGAGTCCCAGGAGCGGCGTAGTGGAACGACAGAGGAGGCTCGCACGGACGTCTTTCCACGGGGCACTTCTCGCAGTGAGAACACACTCTTGTAGGGACCTGTGAAGAGGGAGCTTGGACGGAGGGCTTATCACAACATCATTGATGCGCTTTGGAGCTACACTGGTCTTCTTCTTCATCCTCCTTTTCCTCGTCCTCGTCCTCCTCCTCCGTTACCTCCTCGTTATCACCGCCACCACCACCACCACCATCATCATCAACATCATCCTCATCATCAACATCTCCGTCCTAATCCGAGCCGTCACCGTCATCCCCTTCCACCTCCTCCTCTGTTTCCTTCACTCCCCTGCTCTCTCCCTCTTACCGTCGTCATCATCCTTGTCTTCCTCCTCCACCTCCGTGTCCTCCCCTCCTCTTCCTCCTCTTGCATGCCCCCTACTATCCTACTCGTTTGCCTTATTCCTCCTCCACCTCCTCCTCCCCTCCTCCTCCTCCTCCTCCTCCTCCTCCTCCCCCCTCGTCCTCCTCCCCTTCGGCTTTCCCCCCTCCCTCCTCTGCATCCTCCGCCATCCGCTCTCCTCCCTGCTCCTCATTCCTGCCTCTTCCCTCTCCTCCTCCTGCTCCCTCCTCCCTCCTTCTCCTGCTCCCTCCTCCCTCCTCTCCTCCTCCTCCTCCTCCTGCTCCTCCTCCTCCCCCTGATCCTCCTCCTTCTCCTCCTCTTCCTCCCTCCTCCTCCTGCCCCGGCTCCTCCTCCCTCCTTTGCTCCTCCCTGCCTGTCTCCGTTCGCCCAACCCTCCAGCCCAACGCGCCTGGGCGAGTGTCCCCGCCACGGGCCGCCTGGAGGCTGGTCCGCCGCTCGGCGGCGCCCGAGCCTTGCCCGCGACATCCTCGGCGCTGGGGGGGGGGAGGAGCAGGAGTGAGGAGGGAGGAGGGAGGAGGAGGAGGAGGAGGGACGAGGGAGGAGGAAGGGAGGAGGAGGGAGGAGGGAGGAGGGAGGAGGGACGGGGAGGAGGAGGCGGAGGAGGAGGAAGAGGAGGAGGAGGACAGGAGGAGGAGGAGGAGGAGGAGGAGGAGGAGAAGAGGAGAGGAGGAGGTGGTGGAGGAGGAGCAGCAGGAGGGAGCAGGAAAGGGAGAAGAAGGAGCACGAGGAGAAGGCCGAGAATGAGAAGAAACACAAGGGAGGCAAGGGGGGGCGGAGGGCGATGATGAGGAGGAGGAGGAGGACCATTGTAAATCCAAGACGCATCAACGATTTTGCAAGAAACTCTCTTTCCAAATTCCCTGTTCACGGGTCCCTACGAAGACCTATTGTAAATGCGGGGGACGCTCTATTGAAAAACAACCGCCTGAGGATCCCAAACCGTGCCAAAACACCATTCCTTTGACTTCAACCAACGCTGCGAATCAACTCGGAAGTTGCGTCTGGACAATCCAAAATCGTGCCAGAACACCATTCCTTGGACTTCAACACCGCAGACCAATGTGAGTGTTGCGTCCCGTCAGTCCTGAAGCGTGCCGAAAGACCATCTCTGGGACCTCACACGTCAGCCGTACAAATATTTCAACCTGCTATGCGATTCAAAAACGAATTTGCGTGACGCTAGAGCGATAACCACATTTGAAAAAGAAATGCCCTCAACCCTTGAAGCTGCTGCAATAATTTCACGCATGTGTGCGTGGCGCGATTGCGATAATACCATTTTGAGACGGACCCGCCCTGCATCCTTGAAACCTCGGCAAACTGTTCGAACACACGTGTGCGGCGCTAAAGCGAGAGCCGCATTTTGAAAACAGCCCACCATCAATTCTTGGCGTCGTTGCAGACGTCAAGCTTCAGGGTCATACATGGTGAAGACGTCGCAAGTGAAAAACCCGGACAGTCCTACAGCCACTGTGTCACTGTCTGTGGCGCGACAAGTGGAGCTGGTTATAAGGATGATGGGTGGAGATAGAGGAAGAGGAGAAGGAGGAGGGAGGAGGAGGCGGCGGCGGAGGAGGCGGCGACGGAAAACGAGAACAAGCGGTTGTAGGAGTAGGAGTAGGAATAGGAGGAGGAGGAGGAGGAGGAGGAGGATACGCCCAACGGCTTGCCAGCCCACCTCATCAACGCCCGCAGCGCGATCACCTGGATCAACGGGTGTGTCAGAGGCGGGCTCCTTCTAATCGGCATGCACTTTCCAGAAAGGGAAAGCGTCGGGGGTTGAAATGGAAGCAACACTTGAACCAAATGGGTGAACAATTGTTTGCTGCCGGGAAGCCTGTCGTGATCGCTGCTGACTTCAATTCTACCCCGTCAGGGGCTTAATGAATTCGTAGCCTGTCGGAACTCAGAAGCGCGGTGGTCTACGGGAACAAACCTACGCGCAGAAGAGGAACGATTTGGAGGGAGTCGGATTTCTTCATCGTCTTTCACGAGTTAGTTGGTGCGGCTCGGAGCTGCTCGAGGATCGAGGGCTCTAGCCAAAACCACTCACTACCCAGCCAAGCTCGTGCTTGAGAGAACGCCTCATCGTCGGGCAAAACAAAGTTTTGAAGGCGCCCCGAAGCTATTCCCTTTGGAGCCGGATGTCTCTTGAGGACCCACCGTTTCAAGGACCTGGAGCCTGTTCATCGACAGGCTGACGCAGGTCCACGGCAGCACTCTGCAGGCCGTCTTCAACAACATGTACACACATGTGCAGTGTGATGGAGATAGAGCTGTGTGGCGTACTGGGCATCACGGAAACTGATCGGTCTCCCCACTTCGGGCGTGGAGCTGGGTACCAGGTCGATTCTGAGCCACTTTCGGAACATGTCGAACGGCCCTACCCGAGGTGCACCAAAGCATCCGGAGCCCTTCGCAAGTGCGGCGTCTGAAGTGAGGAGGTCATCTGTTTGCTGCAAAGAGATAGGTCTTGGAAGTTTTGGGCAGTCGAGCACCTCGTCAGTAAGATGAATGTACCGATCCAATGCAGTGCCAGGTTGGAGCCAGCTTCACGCGTCTATGTTCCTTGGCGGGGGCTGAGAGGTAGAGGATGTCATCGATCTAAATGAGTCAATCCAAGAATTCAGTGACGTCGTCGAGTCGTGTTTACATGGAAGCTACAACGAATATTTGGAGGCAATGGGTTCCGGACTCCATTTAGCAAGGAGGAGGCAGAGGAGGAGGAGGAGCTGTATACAAGTATACAAACAAACCTATGGGGTGGGTCCCTGACCCCAACGGGCTCCACAGGGCACCTGCTGGCCACGTGGATCTGATTGAACAACTGGTGGAATAATGGAAAACTATCTGGCATGAGGGGGAACCGGGTCGTCTCAGAGCTGAAGAGCTAGGACTGCCCTCAAGTGAGCCACCGCCCGTTCCATCAGTCGAGGGTGTTAGGCATGCCCTCATTGGGCTCCATTCGCCGCCGCGGTCCGAGTCTCGGGGAAGATCGAGGGGATCTCTGGGAGAGACAGAGCATCGCCTGGAGTGCGTTTTCGGACCCGAGGGGGGGCATCTGTGAGCGGGCGATCTGGCAGCAGAGGGCCACAGGAGAGGCTGCCAAAGGCATTAGCACCACTGCACCACCGCCTCCGCCCTGATAAGCATGGAACATGCGATGCGAAGGTCCCCCGTGATGTCCTGTGGCACGCGTGTGTCAAACACCTCTTGCAGTGCATGGCCTTGCCGCATCAAGATGAAGGAAGCTGTTTCAGAGATTGAGCGTTCAGATCACGAGATCTACTGTCGCAGCGTGCATGTTTGCCACAACGCCGCTCAGGGAAGACCTGCAGGATTCACCTGAGTTCATGCGGGAACGTTGGCCTGTCCTGAACCTGTATGTGATGTCTTCGACCTACCCTGGGATATCAGAGGCTCTCGGAAGCACGTTGAGCATATGCTGTCAGAAGCCGCCCCTCGGCTGTGTTCCACGTTGGAGAGCATGGGCCTCGTCATCTCGCGTGAGAAACTCCAGCTTGCTTCGCCGTGCGTCGTGAGCAGAAGTTATCCAGCTTCAGATGTCACTGGGGTAGTTCTGTCAATAAGATGGGCCACGACTTGTCGAGACGGCTTAAGAAAGGTAAACAGGTGATTCGTAAGAGGGTGTGGAGATTGAGGAAAGGTAGGACGTTCTCAGATCTTCCGAATTCAGCAGGACATGCCTCAAACGGGTAGTCCGAAGAGATGGGAGGGCGGCTGCTGCGTGTGGGGTCAGGGTGATGGGGATGAAGGATTCCGATCTAAACGATCTCCGTGCAGTGGCCGCCTTCGACCTTTTTGGGACGGCGAGAGGACTCTCCTGCGCTGTGCAGTACCTCCTGACAGGTCCTCCTGAACTCGACCCGTCCTACCTCGTCAATCTCATGCTGCCCTTACCTGGACACGCTGGCGCTGTAGTGCAGACTCTGAGGCGCTTGGGATGAACTGTTTTGGGATTTTGCCAACCGGAGGGCACCTCAAGGGCTCCACGTGGACCTCATGAACGTCGGGACCAGGACCCTCAAGACCTTGATTCGCAAAACCATCGAACAACAGCTAGAGCAGAAAACGTCAAAGATTTCGGATGGACCAGAACTGAGTATTACGAGCCGATCCGTCAGGAGTTGCAGATAATGAGGTCCAAGGGCCAAAGTATTCAAGCCGTGGTTGCCCACGTTCCTGGAGGCCTCTGGACCAATCCAATCTGTTTCAGGAACGGTACGAGCTGAACGACTTTTGCCCGTGGCGCCGAGCTTCTCGTGAGACTATTGGGCACCGCGACTTCGGCTGTGACGGATTCGCTGCATGGCGACGAGACAGAAGCTTCCAAGGTATGATTGGCATCGGCCACGAGGCTGAAGATTGTCCCCTCGTGGAATGCGGTGTCACTAAACGTACGAGAGCCAAATTTCCACCACTTCTTCAGCCCTGCGGTGGAGTGGCGAACTCGAGCGGGTTGGGCTGGCGTCACCCTGGGAGCTGTTCCAGGCGAGGAGGTTGCTTCTGTTGCGGTGCCGTCCCAGGCCCAATTCAGAGCGCAGGGCTGGCGGAGCACTAAGCCTGTTTGATGAGTTTGTGCCTGATGGGAACATCGGCAACGATTGGTACTAAATCATCGTAGCCTTCTGCTCGGGCTCCAGAGAGGACCGGAAGTCATGTGCAACACCTCCCAGCCCTATTTTGAGGTTTGGCGTTAGATTTTCTGGAAGCTTGAGGCTGTTGGAATGTCTAACGTTGACCTGTTTTGGATGCCATCGCGCAGAACTCGGACCTGGCTCAGAAACCAAGTTTATCCTGATAGGTGGTTCCGTGGGAATGCCCTGGCGGATAAGTATGCCAAGAAAGGAGCTGACCGACACCCAAGGACCCCCCAGCTTCGGGAGCGCATCAGGATCGCCGAGCAGTTCGGCGCGCAGTTCACCAGGCTAACCGGTACCACTCTGCACCAGAAAAATAGGCTAGGGTTCCCTGATGTAGCTAAGTTCGATCAGGTCAAGTAGATCCGAAATTAATCCCAGCCCAGACGGGCCAAAACCCATTTGCACGATTGATTAGACTCATCAAGAATGACAACGGGTATCTCCTCGACACTGAAGGGAACCTATATGGCTGCCGTGTTTGCGGGTATTCCTCTCTGTAGATTCCCGTATTGTGGCGCAGCCGTGTCCAGGGACGCCCAGGACGGTTGCTAGGTCCCACCCAACACAAAACTTGCGGGTGGATGTGAATTCAAATTAGTGTAACTGGTGTGATAAGTACGCGCGAGATCAGGCCAAGGGCTTGGCCGCGCCTTGCCGTCCAAAGGGTGCCAAGGCGTTGGGTAAGAGGGCCCTCAGGGACCTCCTTAAAGCAGGTAAGGACCCGACTTCGAAGGCGTTTGTCGGTCGCCCGTTCCCTGTGCACTGAACCCCCCTTCGGCACCATGACATACCTGAAGGCTGTTTTTGAAGGGGCCCCAGGACACACACAAATAAATACACACAAATAACAATATTCCCCATATTTTCCAATATTTTCTGGGTTTCTGTCTTCCCAACCACTTCCCATATTTTCCCATATTTTCTGGAGAATCGAGGATTAATTGTGTCTGTGTGTTTCTTTTCCTCCTGAGTTTTGCGTTTGCGGGTCAGACTTTCCAGAGGCTCCAGAGGCTCCAGACGAGGAGGAGGAGAATGAGGAGGAGGAAAAGGAGGAGGAAGAAGAGAAGGACGTGGACGACGACGATGAAGACGACAACGGGAAGGAGGAGAAAGACGTGGAAGAGCTGGAGGAGGATAAAGAGAACACGTGGTAATCTGGATGATGAGAAGGAGAAGGAGAAGGAGAAGGAGGAGGAGGAGGAAGAAGAGGAGGAGGAGGAGGAGGGGAGGAGGAGGAGAAGGAGGAGGAAAGACATAATAACATAGAAAAACTGCAGGAGGACCATGAGGAGGCGGAAGAAGAGGAAGAGAAGGAATGAGAACGGAGACGCTTGAAGGGCCAGGGGGGGGGCAGGAGCAACACTGGCCTCGGCCCCACCGCCGACGCAGCCAGCTGGCGCGGCGGGCGTGTCCCGCGACCCAGCGCGGCGGCGGCCGAAAACAGCGCGGGCACGGCGGCCCCAAGCTGAACCGCGGCAGCCCTCCGAGACCTCCGGCCCCGGCTGCGGCGGCGCAGCGCCTGGCTGTGGCCGCTGCGGCTGCGGCTGCGGCTGCGGCTGCGGCTGCGGCTGCGGCTGCGGCTGCGGCTGCGGCTGCGGCTGCGGCTGCGGCCGCTGCCCCGGCTGCGGCGGCGCAGCGCCTTGCTGTGGCCGCTGCGGCTGCGGCTGCGGCTGCGGCTGCGGCTGCGGCTGCGGCCGCTGCTGCGCCTGCGGCGGCGCGGCGCCCGGCGGCGGACTCTGCTGCTGCGGCTGGGGCTGCGTCTGCGGCTGGGGTCGAGGCTGCGGCTGCGGCCGCTGGTGCTGCGGCTGCTGCGGCTGCGGCTGGGGCTGGGGCCGCCGCTCGTGGCCCCGCTCCGCCGGCGGCGGCCCTTGCGGGTGCTGCGGCGGGGGTTCCTTGGCCTCGCGCCGCCGGGACGCCCCGCGGCGCGGCGTGGCCGTGCCGCCTGGGCCCTCCTCGGGCGGCTCCGCGGTCGGCTGCTCCGGCGGCAGCCAGGCGCCGCCCGAGCCGCGGCGCCCGCGCTTCGTGTACTTGCGCTGCACCGGCTCCGAGCGTGCGAAGATGTCGACCGCGGCCGCGGAGCGGCCGCGGGCGGCGGGCGCGGGCGACTCCTCGGCCCAGGCCGAGCGCGGCGTCGCGGGCGCGGCGGCGGCCCCCGCCGCGTGCGCGGCATGGTCGCCCCCACCTGCGCGGCGGGCGCCCTTGCGCGCTGCTGCCTCTGGCCGCTGGCCGGCGGCGGCGTCCAGGCTCGCCGGTTGGGCCGCCGGCGCGGGCACCGACTTGGCCCGCTGATGCCTTTGGCCGCCAGCGGCGCCGGCGCTCGCGCCCTGCGCCCAGGCCGGCGGCGCCGGCTGGGCGGTCGCCCTGCGTCCGGGGTGCCGCCAGCAATGCTTCGTGGCCCGGAGGCCGCCTCCGCTCTCCAGGTCTGGCTCCACCTGGACCTCGGGGTACACCTTCCACTCCCGCTTGGTTGCGGGCGGCGCCCGCTGCGCGCGGAAGGGCTCCTCCGGCTGGCAGGGGTAGCTGCCGTCCCAGGAGCCCTCGGTGTCCAGCGAGCCCGCCGAGTTGCGGGAGCACTGGGTGCGCGTCGAAGGAGATGAGGCCGTCGAGATCTTGGAGGGGCTCTTGGCGCCCATCAGCCAGGCCGCCCATGAGGAGTCGGCGTCCCCCTGCGCGGAGCTCGCGTCCGACGAGGAGCCGTCGGGGTCGGCGCCTGCCCGTGCGGCACACCTCTCGGCCCGCCCGCCCGCCGCCCAAGAGGGTCCCGAGGACGCGGCTGCCCACCTCTCGGCGTACCTCTGGTCGCTCCGTGGCGAGGCGCGGCGTACCCCGGGGCGGCGGCGGCGGCACGCGCCGTACCTGCAGACGTGGCAGAGCGAGAACGCCAGGCACAGCGAGGGCACGAGGATGCCCAGCAGCAGGCCCGCCGGGACGCCGGCGCCGTGGCCGAAGCCGTCCACCGCCTCGGCGCCCCTGTCCACATACCACGCCTGCCCGGTGCTCTGGTCCGACGCCACGACGCTGAGCACCTCTGCGTCGCCCCCGCCCTCCTCCTGCACGCCCATCGCGACGACCTCGGCGATGGCCCCTTCGTCCTGGGCCGCCAGCTGCGCCGGCGGCGCGGCCGACGGGGCCGGCGGCGGCGCTGGCGCTGGGGGCGGTTCGGGTGCCTCGGGCGGGCGCCTGCGTCGTCCTCCGCCGCCTTCTTGCGCGGGCGCCGCTGCCGTCGTGGGCGGCGCCGCCGTCGTCGTGGAGGGCGCGTAGATCGGCAGCGACACGTCCCAGCCCAAGCCCGCGAACTTGAAGGACCCAACCATGGTGCCTCCCCTCCACGACCCAACCATGGTGCCTCCCCTCCACCTCCTCAGTCTGCTCCCTCCTGCCCCTTCCTCCCCCTGCCATCTTTCCTCCCCCGTACACCCTTCCTCCCCCACCCATTCCCTATCCCCCATCCCTGCGGTTCCCCGTCCTGCGCTTTCCCATCCTTCACACGTTCCTCTCCCAACCCCCTTCCATCTCTGAGCCCCCTCTCTCCCTTCCCCCCTCTTCGCCCCACCCCCCAATCCCACTCCCCCCCCATTCCGCCCCCTCCCCTCCACAATGACACAATATGAATACAAATCTCCTCTTTCCCCTGATGACGTCCGGGAAAAATCCAGCCCCCCTCCGCGTACTGATTTTTTATATGAAAAGCACAAGATTCCTGGGAAACGGATTATCGTTTTTGCTCAAAATGCTGCTCTCGTTTAAGCGCTGGCCTCATTTTCGGGTTGCCGCTCGTTCCGAACCGCTCTCCCGCTGCAGCGTTGGCGTCATTATTTCCAACGCCATGCCACGGCATGGTTTTCGGTCCTTCCAAATAGGCTCCAAAAACTCAGATAGTCCCCCCCGAAACAACTTTCGGACGTAATGACACACTCGGTGTCGATTCATTGATTTTTGGGGCCGCAGACGCCACCCCACTTTGGCGTTACTACGCCATGCTATGTCAGGCTGCGCGTTGACATTCAACGCCATGTTATGCCATGTCATGCTACGCCCTGCTACGACATCCAACTGTGCGAATAGAGAGGAGATCTACGCCATAGTAGGGGATGGGAGGGAGGGGTAGGACGTCAGACATGACGCGAACGCACCTAGTTTGCCCCCCTCCCCTCCGCACCGGCGCCCCCTCCCTCATCCCTCCACCCCCCCCCACCACCCTCCCAGATCCCTCCCCGCCATCACTCTTCCACGCGCCCCCTCCCCATCCTCCACCCCGCCTTCCTTCCTTCCTTCCACTCCGCTTGACGCCAACCCCTTGGTCGGGTCGCGCGCCCAGCCGGGCCGCGCGGCACGGGACCTCATAGGCTGGCGAGCTGTGCCCGCATGCTGCCCTTCCCGGCGGCCGAGGGCTGCTCGGCTGAGCTGGAGCCCCCTCCCTCCTGTCCCCTCCTGCTCCCCCCCCAAGGCCGGACGGCAAAGAGGACCCCACTCCGTCGGCTCAGTTAATGTCCGCGCTCCCGGGCGCTAGCCCGCCCTGCCCCCCAGAGCTCCGACGTCGTGTGCTGTTGTTGTTGTTGCTGCTGCTGTTGTTGTTGTTGATGATGATGTAGTTGTTATTATGATTCGTATTCTTCTTGTTGTTATTGCTGCTGCTGTTGTTGAACTCTCATCTCTGAATAATAATTATTGTTGATCCCCCCACCGACGCATACTGTTTTCTCAATGAAAGTGTGCCCCTCGACGCTCGCACCTTGTTTTTGATCAGGGAAAATCTTCGTGCTCAAACTGTGCCCCTGGCCCCCCAGATTACAACAACAACAATAAGTTTAAGACTGTTCGCCCTTATATGCTCGAGTGTCCAATAACGCGTATTTCCCAAACCCTCGATACCCGCCCTCTTCGTCATCGATCGAACCCCTTTCGGGGGGTATACATGTCTTCCCTGCAGGCCGGGCCCTGGCAAGCGGCGGGGCGGCGGCGGACCGTCGGCCTGGCCAGCGGCAGCGCTGATCGGCGGGGCGGCCGCGGACCGTCGACCCGACCCCCAAAGGGACGGACAGGGGACCGACCACGACGACGACGACGACAACGACGACGACGACGACGTCGAAGACGACGGCGACGACGACAACGACGACGACGACGTCGAAGACGACGGCGACGACGACGACGACGACGACGACGGCGAAGACGAGCGAAAGCGAGAGCGAGAGAGAACGACAGCAGGGCCACGAAGGGCACGAAGTAGGCCACGAAGGGCGACAGCGGGGACACGAAGGGAATGCGTACGGGGCCACGAAGAGCGCGAACGAGCGGGGGCCACGAAATGCAGGTAATGCGGGGGCACAGAAGGCAACTATGGGGCCACTGAGGGTAGCAACTGGGCCACGTAGGACAGTGAGGGGGACACATCCGGCGACAGCGGGGCCACGAAGGGCACGCACATGGGGCCACAACGGGCGCGACTCCTGGGTGCCTGGGTGTCGGGAGCGCGGCGCTTGGGCAAATTGCAAGAAATTCCAACGCAAGGCCAGTTTTCAGTAAGTTGCAAGCAAATCTCTAGCGAGAGCGCGACTCCAGAGCGCCGGGAGAGCGATTCCTGAATAAATTGTAAGGAAGTCCCAAGCGAGAGCGCGATTCCTAAATAAAATGCGAGGAAGTCTCGAGCGGGAGCGGGGGTCCAGGTTAAATTGTAAGGACGTTTCAAGCGGGAGCCATTGTTGTTGTAACTCGGGGGCCACGGGCCCAGTTTGAGCATCAAGACTTTCCCTGTCAAAAAACAGGGTGCGAGCGTCGAGGGGCACACTTTGATGGAGAAAAAACCATATGCACCGGTGGGGGGGGATCAGCAATAATTATTCTTCAAAAATGAGAATTCAACAACGGCTCCCACCCGAGAGTTCCTCACACTTTAGCCAGGACCCCCGCTCCCGCCCAAGACTTCTTCGCATTTTATTGAGGAGTCGCGCCACGAAGGGCAGCGAGGCGGCCACGAAGGGCTGCAACGGGGCCACGAAGGGCTGCAACGGGGTCACGAGGGGCAGCGGGGGGGCCACGAAGGACTGCAACGGGGCCGCGAAACAAATCAAGGGGGCCACGAAGGACTGCAACGGGGCCGCGAAACAATGTGAGGGGGCCACGAAAGGCTGCAACGGGGCCACGAAGGGCAGCGAGGGGGCCACGAAGGGCCGCAACGGGGCCACGAAACAAAGCGAGGGGGCCACGAAGGGCTGAAACGGGGCCACGAAACAAAGCGAGGGGGCCACGAAAAGCTGCAGCAGGGCCACGAAGGGCAGCGAGGGGGCCACGAAGGGCTGCAACGGGGCCACGAAACAAAACGAGGGGGCCACGAAGGGCTGCAACGGGGCCACGAAACAAAGCGAGGGGGCCACGAAGGGCCGCAACGGGGCCACGAAGGGCAGCGATATCCCGATTCTTAGGTTATCTGTGAGGGAGTCCTCAGCGTGAGCGCGACTCCTTGGTGCCTGGATGTCGGGAGCGCGGCGCTTGAATAATTTACTGGAAATTCCAACGCAAGGGCGCTGTTCGTCAGTAGATTACCAGGAAGTCTCCAGCGAGAGCGCGACTCCAGAGCGCCGGGAGAGCGATTCTTGTATACATTGTCAGGAAGTCCCAAGCGAGAGCGCCCCCGCTCGCTCGCACCCGTGATGGCCCCATATGCATGCCCTTCGTGGCCCCGCTGCCGCCCTTCGTGGCCCCCTCGCTGCTCTTCGTGGCCCCGTTGCTGCTCTCAGTGGCCCCGTCCTTGCCCTCCGCAGCCCAACATACGTATGCCCTTCGTGGCCCCCGCTCGTTCGCGCCCGCTGTGGCCCCATGTGCATGCCCTTCGTGGCCCCGCTGTCGCCGTTTGTGGCCCCCTCGCTGTCCTACGTGGCCCAGTTGCTACCCTCCATGGCCCCATCGTTGCCTTCTGTGGCCCCGCATATCTGCCCTTCGTGACCCCCGTTCGTTCGCGCTCTTCGTGGCCCCATACGTATTCCCTTCGTGTCCCCGCTGTCGACCTTCGTGGCCTACTTCGTGTCCTTCGTGGCCCTGCTGTTGTTCTCTCTCGCTCTCGCTTTCGCTCGTCGTCGCCGTCGTCGTCGTCGTCGTCGTCGTCGTCGCCGTCGTCGTCGACGTCGTCGTCGTCGTCGTGGTCGGTCCCCTGTCCGTCCCTCCTGGGGTCGGGTCGACGGTCCGCGGCCGCCCCGCCGATCAGCGCTGCCGTTGGCCAGGCCGACGGTCCGCCGCCGCCCCGCCGCTGGCCCGGGCCTGGCCTGCAGGGAAGAAAGGTAGACCCCCCGAAAAAGGCTCAATCGAAAACATAGATGGCGGGTATCGAAGGTTTGGGAAATACGCGTTATTGGACACTCGAGCAGATAAGGGCGAACAGTCTTAAAATGATTGTTGTTGTTGTTGGTGGTGGTGTTGTTGTTGCTGTTGTTGTTGTTGCTGTTCTTGTTGTTATTGAACTCTCAATTCTGAATAATAATTATTGTTGATTCCCCCACCGGTACATATTGTTTTTTCTTAATCAAAGTGTGCCCCTCGACGCTCGCACCTTGTTTTTTGACAGGAAAGTCGTCGTGCTCAAACTGTGCCCCTGGCCCCCCCAGATTACAACAACATTGGACCCCGTTCATTAGACTTCCTCACAATTTACTCAAGATCGGTGTTCCCGCCTGTAACGCCCTCGCAATTTAATCAGGACCCGCGCTCCCATCTGAGACTTTCTCACAATTTACTCAGGAGCGCTCCCGCTTGAGAGCTTCTCGCAATTGAACCAAGACTTCCTCGCAGTTTGATCCAGACCCCCGCTCCCGCCAAAGAACCGCTCACATTTGATTCAGGAATTGCGCTTTCGCCTGTGACTTCCATGCAATTGAATCAGCAATCGCGCTTTCGACGCTCTAGAAACACGCTCCACCAAGGACGCCGTTACAATTTACTTAGTAATCGCGCTCTCGCCATACTCAGGCATCCCGCTTGAATGTCCCATCCGCCCGACCCGCCCGTCAGGGGATCGCCCGCCCGTCGTGGGCTCCCACCCGAGACTTCCTTCAGGAACGGCGCTTTCGCCTAGGACTTCCTCGAACGTCCACGCTCTTACCTTCCTGTTCCTCCTCCCTCTCCCTCCTCCCTCCTCCCTCCTCTCCTCCCTTCTGTCTCCCTCCTCTCTTCCCTCATCCTTATGCCTCTCTGCCCTATCCTTTCTCGGCCCTCATTTCCCTCCTGCCTTCTCCCTCCCTTCTCCTGCCTCCTCACTCCCTTTCTTTTTCTCTCTCTCTCTCTCTCTCTCTCTCTCTTTCTCCCCTCTCTCTCTGTTTCTCTACCTCT